GCTTGCATCAGACAATAAAATATCCTACCATAATTACGCAGATGACACACAGATGTATTTAACAAAAACACGACAAAACCAATGCACTACTCAGAGGACCAAGCCAAAGTCTCCAGGTTTGTTCATTTACTAAAATAAAATGGGCTGTTTAACTTGTTCGTTAACATATTTTAAATAAATGAATCATTAGAAATAATATTCAGTGTTGTGTTTTAAATAAGGACGAAACAGAAACAACTGTTTTTGGTGCCAAAAAGGAACATTCAAATGCCAGTGCTCATTTTAAAAACCTACATTTTAAGAACTCAAACCATGTCAGGACTCATCAACAGAATTCCAAAATCCATCGTCTACCACCTTGAGAAATAGCAAGGCTCAGAGGATTCATGTCTCAGCAGGTGCTGATGCCTTTGTTTTTTGCAGACTTGATTATTGTAATGGCGTCTTTACAGGTCTCTGCGAAAAATAAATGAGGCAACTGCAGCTTAATTAAAATGCTGCTGCCCAAGTCCTCACCATAACCAAGAAAATTGAACACATCACCCCTGTGTTCAGAACTTTACACTTCCACAATGGTCTCTGGCTTGTGCATCATATATGATAATGCACTGTGTCTGACATGTACTTTATAAATAAAGTTGCCTTGCAGTCATAGACATGTCTCTTACATCTGCAGCTTCTGTTGACACTTTCATATTTCAGTTTTTCGTATTACTTTAATTGACTGTGTCTGTGTTTTTAGGTATTTGGTTTGAGATCAGGTTTTGCATAGAAGATGTTTAGCTCAGTCTGTCTGTTTAATTGTGTCGTCGGCTTGTGGTTCACTGCCTGTCACGTCCCCTTTTTTATAATAGAAACAAACACAGGACAATCAAAATAATAATAATATATATAATAATAAGACAAAAGTGTTTATATACAAGTGTGTGGTCAAACAAAGGGACGGTTTTACAAATGTGGGGGAGGTGAGGACAAGGTGGTTGGTGTCAAAGAAACTGAATTGAATATAAGAAAATACAGCCTGACCTATTATCTATTCTTAAAATAAAACAACCAAAATGCTTCACTAACTCACCTAAAGACACAGCTCTCAAAATACATGAGTCACACCAACCAATAACCCCAGCATTATTCACCTAATAACCTAATGTCCAAACAAAGAAAAAACTCCACAAATCTTACAAACACTCTGAATACAAAACAGGAAAACATCAAAACAGCACACACACTAGCAGATCTGAGACCAGGCAAAAAAGGCAACGAACTCTGAGGGCTTGCTCCCTTTATTCTGGAGACCGGGCTGCGATAGGCTGATGAGGATTGGGGGGGACCAATGAGCTGAACCAATGCAACACCTGCACAGGTGGCAGCCATCATCATCATCATCAGCAGCACCTGGGAGAGAGAGACAGGGGAGAGAGAGAGAGACAGGGGAG